ATTTTATACTAAATATTATAAATTTAGTATTAAAAATCACAATAAATTCATTAAGTTTTATAAGAAATCAGAATTTATCATAATCTTAATACTACAAAAAGGAGAATCAGTTTATTAAATTTATAATAAAACATAATGTATTATAATTTTAATATTTAAAAAATCAGAATAAATGTATTCCTATTTACTAGTGTGAAATAAATATATTAGAATTTATAATAAATCAGAATTAAAAATAAGAAAAGAAAATATCAGATAACCTTGTAAAAACATCAAAATGCATAATAAATCAGTAAATCCTCATTTACTACTTTGTTATTGATCTTAGTTTCTTAGCTATATATAATGGTTGGGAATAAGATAATAGTCTAGAAATATGTATTAATGCTTCTTTTATCATTTTACAAAATCCCCCTGCATATTTCTACAATGTCTCTAATTTTTATAATATTTCCCCTCAGCATTTCCGACATATCCGACATATGTCCTATACATCAGCATTTTAAACCTTGAACTCCATACATAAGTAGGAACTATCTGTGATGAGAACTGCCAAAGAAATTTGTGGAGTGTTGTTTGGAGACCATGGAGTGCAAGAGCTCCAAAGAAGCAGCTACCTACAAGAGGGAAGCAGGGTGTTTGGGTTTTAGGCGTCTGAATCCTGAGTACAACATTTTTTTTTTATAGTAAAACAAAAATTTTACAGAAATTACAAAAAAAGGAGAGAAGCAGTCACCCGAGAGAAGAAAGTAATCCTACACCCTACCCCAACCCAGCTCCAATCCCTCAACAAACAACCAACAGAAACACCCCAAAAGACATAAATACCAACACCGAAACAAGCTAAAGCATCAAAAAAATACCCAGGCACACAACCAATATTTTGATAAACAACTTACAAGTTACAACCCAAAAGGCAAACACATACCAACGAAACAAAACTTGACTCCATTACTTAGTTTCACCAATGGCTTGAACAGAAAACTCTTTGCTTCTCTTGGAAAATTTCTTTGATTTCTTCACCATTTTTAAAGGACCAACACCAAATAAACCCCCTTTCAACCTGGCAAAAACTTTTGAAATCTGCACTGTTTGATGAATTTTCTGCCTTCAAAAACGTCTTAGTGCATCACGAGTTTTCTCGGAATGATATATCTCTTTTACAGGCATATAGAGAGTAGAAGGATGATCATGTTACAGTAGTCAACATCTGATAATTCTACTGTTACTCTTGTCACATCTAGACTAAAAGTATGGTCCTTTTTAAGAAAGAGTGGTTCATCAATCCATGAAAACAAATGTGTGCAATTATTATAAAAAGTCCAAGTACAGGAAACTTTACCCACACCTAGTTATTTCCCAGTTTAAAAAGAACAACAGGAGAAGCATAAATGAAGAAACTTAGAAAATGCACACACCTGAGCTGAGGTGCCTGGATTGAAGTAAATGTATGCCTTTGAAAGAGGCTGTGCCTGGATTGAAGTAAGGTGCACGTCTTAAAATGTGCCTCACCTGTGCACCTAGGTGTGCAACTGTGCATTTTAAAACACTGATCCAAATGTTCAACAACATTAACTACACCTTTTTGCATAATAAATGGAAGGACACTTTATTAATAGTGATAGTGTTCCCTTTAGGATACATGGTATGCACAAGTGGTGGAACCAAAATGCCATTTTGATTTTAACCACTCATCCAAAATTCCAATTATCATATGATCATATTTTCTCTAACATGGTTTTAACCACTCATCCAAAAGAATGCAATGGATGGGATAGCTAACAGTATATGTTAGCCGGATATGACAAGGGCATGACTGGAAAAGGAGCCAGATATATAGAATTTACACTAAAAACCAGAAACTGTGAAGTCTGTTTTCTCCGGTGAAGGGTTTCTTGTCTGAAGTTTTGGTGGAGAGTAAAGTCTCTTACAGGTGGAGGTAAGCGAAGATGGGAAGCCTTCAACTGGTACCGTAGATTGGAGAACGAAAGGAGGGCAAGGCGCAATCTTTCTTACAGTGAAGCGGCGGCTGCTGGGGTTTGGCCTGCTTTTGGGGCGTCGGAGGTGAAATGGGTGGATGGTAAAAGGGTGGTAGCTACGGACGCTCAGGGGGTGACTGCAAGAAGAAAATTCTTGAGGAACTGTTTGGTGAGCAGGTTCCGTTGGGGGGAGGAGATTAGGGAGGTAGAGAGATGGGCAAACAGATTTTGGAGGGAGGTAGGGGGTGTGAGAGTGAAGAAAATGGCGGACGGACTTTTCACCTGTCCGTCGAGAGCTGGTGCGGAATGGGTCTTAAGGCAAGGTCCTTGGCAGTTGGGAAGAAACCCCCTTTTACTGTACCGGTGGGGGGCGAGTGCGGGTTGTCATTACCCTAACCCTTTCGCAGTAGGGGAGGACTTAGAGTCGAGTTGGATTAGGGTTTTTGGACTTCCACTTCTGCTCTGGTGCCCAAGTGTAATAAGGGCTATTGGGGATGGGAACCAAATCCCGAACAAGGTTGAAGTGGTGGCGGGGGAAGTGGTCTTCACTGTCCAGATCTGGCAAGAGGTGCTGCCGTCTGCTCGAAGATGGAGAGGTGGAGAAGAGCTGTCTCGTGATGACCAGATAGAAGAAAAGGGGTGTTCAAACTGCTCCAAAACTTTGGTCCTGGAAGACTTGGGCGAAAGCGAGCTCCCCTGTTTTTCTGAAGCAGTGCGTAGCCAGAAGACTGGGACGCGAGTAGCTTCTCCGGCGGCCGGTGATAGAGAAGAAGATGCAGGTTTGAGGGATCCTTTGAACCGTCCGATCTTGGCGACTTCGAATGGTCCGATGGGCACGCCCAGGAATCTGCTGTAAAGGATATTCGAGTTTCAAATTTGGGGGCAGCGGGCAGGCTTTGGGAGTTGAAGCTATTAAAGACTTAATTAGAGAGTGCCTTGTCGAGCTCCAGCTGGCACCTAGGGAGGGCCGCGTGCCAGTGGGTCATCACAAGGTCTACCAGCCCCCCCTCCTCGAGTCTCAGGGGGGCCGTGGCAGTTCGGATGAAGCTACTGGGCCTAGAGTGCTTTACCCAGCCCAGCCGGCTCAACAATCTTTTAACCTGGAAGTTGGGCCTGGGCCCAATGGTTATAATGAGTCCAGTTCCCCCTCTGATCGATGGGCGCATATGTCTCCAGAGCTCAGTCCTCCAGTTGGGTGTGGGTTCTGGGGCTGCTCGGGATTCTCAGGAACGACGGGGGATTGCTTCACGTAGGGAGAAGAAGGGAGGAGGGGGAGCTTTGGACCCCGGCTCTGGGGTTGTGAAGTTTTTGCCTTCCCATTCTACTGCTTTGGAAGGTGAGATACAGTTAAAATCCAACCAGCTAGCGGTGCTGAGAGAGGAAGAGGAGCTGATGGAGGTAGATCCGATAGTGATGGTGGCTGCAGATTCTCAAGTTATAGGCGGTGGAGGTGAACTAGAGGGTGCTGGGTCACAGGTGGAAGGTAGGAAGTTCAGTGAAACCGCTAGGGGTGCTGTTTCGGATGGGCGGCCTTAGAAGTGCAGCAATCTGTTATTGGTTTAGCCGAACCTAGTAAGGGAGCATCTTGAAAGTGCTTTTGATTCTTCTTGGGTTTCTTCTAAGTTGATGGGTTTGGGAAAGTTTCTGGGGATCTTGTTAGAAGGTTTGGAAGAGGAAACAATTAAGTAGTTGGAGGGGGTAGAGAAAAGAATGCATCTAGCCAGGGGGGAAAGCTACAGTAAAGAAGGGGGGTAACAAATCCAAAAGAAGTAGAGAATTGCTACGCTTGACTTGGAACCTTAACGATAAAGCAGGCAGTAGTGGTTGTTTTTTGGTTTTGTTGTTGAGTTCAAGGTATTATCCTGGAATGTTAGGGGATTGGGGTCGGGGAGGAGGCGTGTAGTTTGTGACTCTCTGAAAAATTCAGGTTCAAAAGTGGTTTTGATTCAAGAAACTAAGTTGGAAAGTGTGGAGGCTGCAGTGGTTAGAAGTATCTTGGGGGGAGGGGGAGGTTAGGGCCAGCAGTTGGTAGTGCAGGGGGGTTACTGAGCATGTGAGACCCGACAGTTTGCAGCTTGATTTCTCATCAGTTAGGAAATTTTTCAATTTCCCTTGTCTTGAAATTTGCAGATGGTAATGTGTGTCGAATCACTAATGTGTATGGTCCTAATGACAGAAGTTGGAGGGAGTTTTGGGAGGAATTGGTCGTGGCTAGGGGAAGTCTTGCTTTTCCTTGGGTCATTGGTGGGGACTTTAATGTCACTCTTTTTGCAGATGAGAGAAGCTCGGGTGGGAGAAGATCGAGGGATATGGTGCAGTTTGCTGATCTTATCAACAGATTTGAACTTCAAGATTTACCTCTCCATGGTAACAGGTTTACTTGGACCAACAATCAAGATCTTCCTACCCTAGTGAGGCTGGACAGGTTTCTAGTTACTTCTAATTGGGAAGATATCTTCTCGGAGTTTAAGCAGGCTGCCCTTCCAAGACCAGTGTCAGACCATATTCCTATTCAGCTGGTTTGTGGTGTTAGAGTGAGAGCAAAAATTCCTTTCAAATTAGAGAATGCTCAGTTTGAGGATGATTCTCTTGTTCCTTTGCTGAAGTTTGTTTGGGAGGACCTACAAGTGGGGGGTACCAGTTCATTCATCTTAGTAAAGAAATTGGGGGCCATTAAAGCAAGACTAAAGATTTGGAAATTGGAGAAAAGTTTGAGTTTAGATACTGATAAGAAGGCTCTCCTGAGTACCATAAAGGAGATTGACACAGTTGAAGAGTTAGGTCCTATTACTGAGGAGCTCAGATTAAAAAGATTTCAGGCTAAGTTGAAGTTTGACAAATTGGCAGTGGAAAAATAAATTAAATGGAGGCAAAGAGCCAAATTGGCTTGGCTGAAAGAGGCCCTATTACTGAGGAGTTTAAGTTTGACACATTTTTTTCACAAAATGGCAAATGCTAAAGCTAGAGCTTCTGTAATTACCAAACTGGAGGGAGAGGGCAGGGTAGGTATCACTGAGACTGATATGAAGCTTGTGGCAACTAGCTTTTACAAGAAGTTGTATAAGGAATCTTGGTCCTTCAGACCTTTTCCTAGATCCCTTTCTTTTAACCAGTTGAGTGATGAGCAGTCTTCACTCATTGAGAGACCTTTCTCTAAGGAGGAAATTAAAGAAGCTATCAAGTTGTTGGCTGATGAGAAGTCTCTAGGGCCTAATGGTCTTACAAATCTCTTCCATATTAAATGCTGGGATGCGGTGAGACAGGACATCTTGAATGTTTTCCAGGATTTTTTTGAGAGGGGTTCATTGTAGAGAAGTCTGAACACTACCTTCATTACCCTCATTCCAAAGATTGAAGGTGCAGTGAATATTAAGGATTTCAGGCTGATTAGTCTTCTGCATAGCTTCTATAAAATCCTAGCTAAAGTGCTTGCTGAAAGATTGAAAGCAGTCCTTGGTAGTGTTATCTCAAATAACCAAAGTGCTTTTATTCCGGGTAGGCAGATGCTGGATTCTGTTCTTATTGCCAATGAGCTCATTCATTCCAAGAAAAAAGAAGGTTCCCTAGGGTTGATTTGTAAACTTGATATTGAGAAGGCCTATGATCATGTTAATTAGAGATGTGTGGACCTTGTGCCTCATCAGATGAATTTTGGGCAGAAATGGCGGAATTGGATTAAGGTTTGTATCACTTCCCCAAAGTTCTCAGTTTTGGTAAATGGCCAGTCTGCAGGTTTCTTTGATAGTTCCAGGGGTCTTAGGCAAGGTGACCCTCTATCTCCTCTTCTATTTATATGTGTAATGGAGATCCTCACACTTTTCTATAAGAAGGCTGTTGTGTCAAGAGAATGGGAAGGTTTTGCAATTGTGCCGGGGGGAGAGAAAGTGAATATTCTTCAATTTGCAGATGATACATTGTGTTTTGTGGATGCATCCCCCTCTCAGGTGGAGTTAATCCTTGGGATCCTGTCTTGGTTTGAAGTGATTACAGGCCTAAAATTCAATTGGGATAAGAGCCAAATTATCCCAGTTGGACTTGTTCCCAATTTAGCAGAGTGTGTTGGTGCTTTGGCTTGTTAGATTGAGTCCCTTCCAGTCAAATATTTGGGACTCCCGCTAGGGGTGAGTGGTGGTTCCTCTGCTATTTGAGACCCAGCTATTGAGAGATTGTAAAGGAAGTTGGCTTCTTGGAAGGCAAAATACCTATCATTTGAAGGGAGGGTGACTCTGATTAAGAGTACTCTCTCCAATTTACCTACCTACTTCCTATCTCTATTCTATATTCCTAAGAATGTTGCAAATTAAATTGAAAAGCTTCAAAGGAATTTTCTTTGGAGAGGATGGGAAGAGGAGAAAAAAGTGCACTTGGTGAATTGGGAGCAAGTCTGCCTCCCCAAAATTGAAGGGGGGTTAGGTATAAGGAAGCTGAAGTATTTTAACTCTGCTCTCCTCGGTAAATGGATTTGGAGATTTGCTGTAGAATCTGATGCTTAGTGGAGATCTCTCATTGCCAGCAAATATGGTGTGAGTTGGGGCAATTGGAGAACTAGGGACCCCCCTCTTAACTGGGGTAACTCTCTATGGAAAGGGATAATGAAGAACTTTTCAGATCTGGTCAGGGGGTCTCAATCAGGGTTGGTAATGGTAATAAGACCAAATTCTGGAAGGACCCTTCGTGCTCAGATGTTCCTCTTGCTGAGTCCTTCCCACTTCTTTTCCAGTGTGCTTCAGATCAAGAGGCCTCAGTTGCTGAGTGCTATAGTATTTCTGGTGGTTCAGTTCTTTGGACTCCCTCTTTTCAAAGAAACCTCTTTGGTTGGGAGGTGGAAGAGGCAGTGGATCTCTTGATCTGTCTTCAATATCAAGAGTTGGATTATAGTTCGGAGGATAAGAGGATAAGTGGCATTGGAAGTGGAATTCTGATGGGATGTTTTCAATTAAATCTTTGGCTGCTATGCTTGGTAGGAGGGGGTGTTCCTGATTTTCCAGTTCAGCAAGTGTGGAATCCCATCAGTCCGACTAAAGCCAGCTTCCTAGTTTGGACTATGGCTCTTAATAAATGCCTTTCCAAGGAGAACCTTGTGAAAAGGGGATTTCAGATTTCGGACCTGTCTTGCAGTTTATGTGGGTGCAGTGCTGAATCTACTGATCATTTGTGTATCCACTGCCCGTTTTCTGCTCAGTTGTGGAACCACTTCCTCAATGCTTTGAAGGTTTGTTGGGTGATGCCGAGGTCGGTAAAAGAGCTGTTATGTTGCTGGCAGATATTGGGCTTGAGCAAGAAAAAGAAGACTTTATGGAAGATGATTCCAATTGCTGTAATCTGGTGTATCTGGACTGAGAGGAATAGAAGAGTGTTCGGTAACAAGTTTCTAAGTCTAGAGGACTTAACCCAGAAGTTAGTGGGCAAGCTGATTTCTTGGTTGTCTGTGGCAGCAGATTTTAGAAACTGTAATGTGTCAGATGTATTATTTTCTTTGTCTTGATGGCTTGTGTAATTGCTGATTAGATCGGTCAGCCTGTTCTGGGACTCATCTCAGCCTCTTGTGTGCATTTCATTCTCAATAAATATTACTTTACCTTTTTCAAAAAAAAAAAAAAAAATTGATGTATCAGACATGATAGAGATAGACTACCTTTGTCTAGGTATCTAAGTGTAATAGCTCACAGTTGTAGCATAAATGATTAAAATTAAAAGAATTACTTGTCAGCACTAATGCTAGTAAAAGGAATAAGAAATAGCCTTATCACTCACAGGTTTTAGGAAATCAACATGGTCAACTTCTAGAAAGCAGGGCACCATGCCAGCAAAGGCATAAGCTGTTGAGAATGCCAGCTCAAATGCTCTGTTCATCAAGAACCCTCCAAATATTCGACCATGCATGTTCCTTTGCTGTGGCTGACAAATCAAAGAATTCTGAAGGCGGGTATCCCTCATAAGAATGCTATCTCTGTTCGCCAAAGCTGGCATATCACAGAAGATTCGTCCTTCAGCCAACAAAGCTTCAAGCCGATCAACCTCCCCATTTGCAAGGTCCTTTTTATGTTGTCCTCTCTTCAATTTCCTCAACTTATTTCTTGCCTCTGCTTCTTCCCAAAGCTTCTTTTCTTGTTGAGTTTCAGGTGAAATCCGGTTCACTGGAGCAGATTTTCCGGTCTTAGAGTCACGAGCTACAAATGTGAAGTTTGCTGTAAGAGCTATTGAATTTGAAGGATGTGAGCTCTCTGCAAGACAAAAGTCTTCATATTATAATATGGAAAGAAAATACAGACAACACTAAGAAACTTATGAGAAAAAGTATCAAAATACGATAAATTATGGGTAAATACCCTTGGTTATAGTATCATACTATTATATCAGTCACATATTAATAGGATAAGGAAGCATACACATATGTCAACATACTTATTTAAGACAAGGAAATGCATATGTCAAGATGGAGGAACAAGACTCGTATAGCCAACACCAAATAGGTTGGATATGGCTTTGTTGGGTTGATGAACAGACACATGCTTTGCAGTATCACAAGTTGAACTGCATCAGGAAATATGTGAACATCTTAATCAGATTTCTGGAAGAAATAGCATACAATTTACCAGAGTTTGAATTTATTAAGTCCTAGAAATTGGTGTAAACTCTACTAGTACAGATTCTCAGATTTTATTCTGAAAAATATTAGATGCCTGTAAGCCAATTTGAAAGGAATGTAAAATATAAAAAAAAAAAAAAAATTCTAATAATGAGTCCAAGTACCTTCTATAGGTTGAGTCACTTCAAGTTGAATCTCGATGGATGAGCGTCCAACCCATACGACAGAACCCGCTATTTTCAGATCAGTGTCAACACGGATTGGCTTCTTCAGAATTATTTTGTCAACAGATGCAGTGACTAATAAGAGAGGCCTTGTTAAGCTATCATCATTGCAACAGTGCTGATTCAAAAAAAAAAAAAAAAGTAATCAGGAAAAAAGGTCTGTTTCTATAAATTCAGGATTTTCTAATTACACAAAAATCAATTATATTGAAAACAACAAAAGATCAACATGATGGTATAGCAAGCCACAATTGCTGCACCTACTATGTAAAATTGCAAAATGGCCTACATCTTGGGTATTTGAGTTGTGGTATGCGATATAGTCCATTAAAGTGATCTAGGTTCAAATTTGAGTGGACAAGTGAGGTTCAAAATTGGCTCAATAAAATAAGCATAAGCATCTAAAATCTAGAGTTTTAATCCAAACCCAAAACAAAATGTCATTGGTGGGCTAAAGGATCTTATGTCGGTTTCAAGGTCAATCTTCTTCTTTGAATCCACTGAATGGTTGATCTCACTGTTCTAGTTTGTATTAAAAACTTGAAGAGGCGGCAAGGATGTTATGATTGAATCACTTCTAGTTAAAGCTCAATGGATGAGCATCCAACTCATATGACAGAACCAGCTATTTTCAGATCAGTGTCAACACGGATTGGCTTCTTCGGAACTATTTTGTCAACAGATGCATTGGTAAAAAGGGAGGTTTTGTTATGCTATAATCATTGCAATAGTGCTGTTTCACAAAAAAAAAAGTAAATCACGAAAAAAAAAGGATTATTTCTATAATTCAGGGGTCTAATTACACTAGTCAACTATATTGAAATCAACAAAAATAAACATGAAGGCATGGCAAGCTGTAATTCCTTTACCTATCATGTAAAATTGGAAATGGATTCAATGGAATCTAGCATCTAGGTTCAAAATTGAGTAGACAAGTTAGGTTCAAAAATGACTCAATAAAATAAGCATAAGGATCCAAAATCTAGTTGGAGCAAAGAAATGCATATAAAATCTAGAGTATTTTTCAAACCCTAAAACAAAATGTTATTGGTGGGCTGAAGGATCTTTGGTCACAGTTCAATCTTCTTTGTTTGATTCGTTTAAGGGTAGAGCTCATTGCTCCAGTTTGAATTGCAAATTTTGAAGAGGAAGTAAGGATACCATGACTTGAGTATTACTCTTGATCCAAACATACTTCTTCAATACTAGTCAAAGTAAATAGAAAATAAGGAGCAAGAGCTGAATAGGGAAATGATGATATAAGCCATGGACCATGGAAACAAATGGAACTATCAAAAACCAGAAGCTACAACAATGTAATCCAATTTCCAGAAACTGGCTCTACACACTAGCAATTCAGGAAACCATCTTTCCAATTGCCATGCCAAATCAAAAACATTTCACAAATCCACTTTGTTTTTTTCTACTAACAAATTTGAGCCCCAAAATAGCACTTGTGGAATCTAGGGACTTTGACCGTGGTGTCAGCAACCTTATAAGAAACAATTAAGAACCCAACATTTCTGCGGGAAACTACAAAGAAAAACTAGCTTCTTAACTGATTCAATCATTTCATAATAGAAGAGTAGCAAATTGAGCGAAACTGATTCAATCATTTCATAAAATCGTATTTCAAGCACAAACCATTAATATAAATCTTGCAAAACTGCAGTGGAAGAGCTCGCGTTACCTTGACAGATATGGTCCCCGCGAGGGCATCAAGATCCTCCAACAATTTTCCAATCCTGACTTCGTTCCATGGGTCTCTGTACTGCTCTCTCAGGACGTAATCAGTGGAAAAATTGTAGAGAATGCTGGTCCGGCTCTGTGCCGGTGTTTTTGTGAGCAATTCACTCTGTGGAGGAGCGTCTTTGGGCGGGTCGATCAGCCTCTCGAAAATGCTTGATCTTGCTTCCCAAAGAGCATTTGTAACAGGAGAATTATACATTCCGGGCCATAGGCTAAGTGGTTTTCTTATGGAAGAGCTCGCGTCGATTGATGGAGAATGCTCAAAAGGAGAAGTGAAGGTGGAAACAACAGGGATGGTATTGGAAGGGGAGAATTCAGAACCCATTGAACCCTCTGGTTTCTGAGATGGGTCCGATGTTACAGAAGAAAAGGCCTTTATTTGAATTGAGTTGGGTGGTTTTAGTTCAACGCTTTTGATTATCTGAGAAGATGAGGTTGCAGTTTTGGTGAGTTGCTGAACAGGGTTTGGTGATTTCTGCTCGGGCGTAGAAACAGAATCAATTAAAAAGGAAGAATGAATGGGTGTTCGGGTGGTTTTCTGGTGGAGTTTGATGGCGTTAAATGCAGTGGAGACGGGTCTGCAGAAATGGAGAAATGGCTTCACGGATTGTTTCATGGCTGGAGAGTGGAGAGACATTCAAATAATTCTTGGTTCATATGATGTCATGGCAATTGGAGGTTATCAACCATTGTTGATTCCTTCATGGCCGGAATCATTTAAACATGGGTAAATTACAAAGAGCCCCCTATGGAATCCGAGTCCGAGACAAATACCCCCTAACTTTCATTTAGAACAAAAACCCCTAAAGTTTTACTTTACAACAAATACCCCCTCCGTTAAAGTTCCGTCAATTAATTTCCAAAAAGACTCTTATTCAGCTGTTTATTTTTTTTAAAATACCCAATTTAGCTTTTATCTTATTTATTGGAATGATTTATGATTCGATTAGTTTTCTAAATATAACATTGAAGTCTTAGTTGCTCCAGTAGATTTTTTTACAAATTTCTAGTTGGATTCAATAATCAAATGAGATGGCAGAGGTTTCTTTCTTAGATATAATTTTATGGTTTTGTTTGGTTTTTCTTGATTCATTGGAGAAATGAGTGTTTTTTTTTTATATTTTAAGATGAAGAGAGACATTTATGTCAATAAAATGAATCAAGATTTACAAAAGAAAAACATTTTTTCCATGCCAGCAAAATGATTCTTGTTATTTTAACTAGTTTCATTTGAAGAAATAGAGGTATTTAGGGTTTGAGAGAAAATGGCAAGAAAAAGAAAATAAGGAAAATTTAGGTGGGCATTTTGATAATTTAATGGGCTCTGCCATCTGACTTAATGTCTAGGGGTACTTGTGGTAAAGTGAAAGTTGAGGGGAATCTTTTTTGCAAAATAAAGTTGAGAACGTATTTGTCACTAACCCCATAGCACAAGAGAGTCTGTAATTTGCCCTTTAAATATTTAATTCCTTCAAATAAAATAAAATAGGGATAAATACACTGCACTCCACCTCAGAATTGGACCCTACATGTAATGTTGATGTGGCATTAGCCATAGATGTTCATGCCAAATTCCTTGACTGAATAGTTCAGCAATGGAGAGGTTGGATCTACTCCCAAGAATAAAACTATTCCAATACACTCCAACATGATATGTGTCCTCGCATCCCACACATAATGGGTCTCTCAGTCTCATGGTGAGATGTGCAGATCATGTTAGATCCCTCTTGGAACAGTGTGTGCATGAAGAGTTTTCGCTTGAGGCTTGCCGGGAATCCCATGGCAAATGTTGTCATACTCTAAATCTCTAATCGGACAGAAGACCAAAGTAAAAGTGATCCACAGGTTTACCGGTTAATCAGGTGGTTGAATTGTTCAACCCATTAAAAACGTTAAATAACGAGGATTTTGATTTGACATTAGAGTCTGATTACGCCATCTAAGGCATTCAAGGAAAAAAAAAATACCCTTTACAAAATAAATGACATAGTTTTAACAAATAACAAATTCAGTGATGTTTTGAAAATAATGTTGAATTAGGTGAATGAGAGAAAAACTTGAACTGCATTTGGATGAAAACTATAACACAAAAGCAAAATAAAGGAAAGCCAAAACAAAGTTAAACCAGAATTTACATTATTTATTATACATATTCAAATATTAAATTGAAGAATAATAAACATATCACTTAAATATTCAATGGTCAAGTGAGACCAGTCTTTATAACTATGAGTGCTTGGGTTTAAATCTTTACATCCTCAAAATTTTTTGGGATTTATTTCCAAACAAGTTAGACTGGTTCTATTAAGATTAACCAAGGCCAGTACTTTGAGTTCGTTCTTTTTTTTTAAGGCTGTGTTTGGAAACGATGTAAGTAAGTGTGAATAGAAATATGTAGTGTAAAATGGTTCATATAAATTGCAAAATTGGGTTAGCTTTGCACTGACAAATTTACCTTTTTACCAAACAGACTTTTAGTTGCAATGGATGCAAACATGAATTCCAATAAAGCATATGCTTTTTTTTTTTATCAAAAGCCCACTTGAATGCAAATCTACTTCTTTTTTATTGATGTACTTTTACATCTTATTATCAATGTAAATATGCATTGATTTGTCATTTATCAATGCATAAATGTAATGTTGCCAAATACAGGCAAAAGTGAACCATAGTACAAATTTACCCTGAACCGGTATTTACACTCCATTTGCATCGTTTCCAAACGCAGCCTAATGGTTCAAAGGGGTTACACAATGGGGAGTAGCCCATCCCCCAAACCCATAAACCCCCCAACCCAAGTGCAAGCAGAATTCAATCATAAATCTCCACTACAACCAACAAGAGACCTTACCAACCAACCAATTGAAACCTTACCATTCTTTGAATTGATCCAAATAGGATAAACCACTAGACCCTGGAACCAGCCTGAGAGCAATTGGACAGGGTCAGTTCCAGGTCGATTCCATTCAGTTACCAGGATAACCTACCCATTTGATCACCCCTATTATAAGGTCATTTGTTGCTCAGAAAGATTTGCTAAAGGATGCTAAAATGCTGACCTTTGATGGATGGGGAACTGATGTCTATTGTGATCTTTGACTAGTAAACATCCTTACACTACCTCCTAGTTCACCTACTACATTGAAAGATGCTGCCTTGATTGACGGAGGTGGATGTGGCTGGAATTTCAAACATGCTGTCTATAACATTTGAACCTAATGTCATTGGCAGATTAAACAAATTGAACCACCTCTTTAGCCTTTGCAAACTGAAGATAAACTTGTGTGGGCACTTACACCACATTGCCAATTTACATGTCCATCAGCCACGCATTATTATAGAGTGAATGTGGTAGCTCCTCTTCTTCTGTGCATAATTGTTTTCTTGGTTTCACTTGAAACAATTTTTGGCTACAAAGGAGCTTCTCATAGGGTACATGTTTTTATGTGGAGGTGTATCACACATGCCCTCCCTCTTCGAGGCTACCTTGCACGTTTTTCTAAAAGGATTGATCCTTGTGCCCTTTGTGCTGCTGCTACAGAAGATTATGTGGGTGTTTGACATCGACCACATACATGCTACATCAGAGAAAGCAGTGCTTCAAATAACGTCTTTTTGTCTGGTATCGTTTTTCTAGAAAAAAACGTTGTTCCAAATCATGCTTTAGAAATTGGGAAGTGTAGTCTAGAGCAACGCCAAATTCAGTCTGTATTTAGTTCCGTGGTTGTTTATGGGTAGGGTGTTTATTTGTACTTTTTCACTTTAAGCATTTATTTATACTTTTTCACTTTAAACGGTTCATGTTTTTGTTGTTTGGTTGAACTTCACTTTAAAAGTTTTTTTTTCTACTCTCCACCTCAGATTAATATCCATTAAAGTGTGTCACATCAGCATTTAGTTTCATTAAACGTTGTAGTGTTTGGGGAAACATGAATTTGACGTTTCCCCAAATGCCCCATGCACAGAAATCAAAGTGTTTCAATTTTCTACCATTTATTTGATAAACGGCGAAACCAAATAATTGTTTCATTTTGTTTCATCTGCAATAAACGTCAACGCCTATGTGGTATTGATGTGACGATGTTTTTTCAATAAACACCAATAGAACCAAACACCCCCTCAATGTTTTCTGAGAAAACGGTGCATTTCTGCCAGCGGTGCAATAATGTGGCATCATCTTGGACGTTGGATAATATAGACCATGTTGATAACGTTGCTGCCAGCACTAGTACCAAACAAAACCAATGTTGTTTTCTCATAAAACAACATGTGACAGCACCGGTTCCAAACAAAAAATAACTACCATTTAAAAAAAAAAAAAAAAACAATGTTTATAACTCCACATGCCCAGTACTGTTTTTCTCAAAAAACGGTACAATGTTCCCAGCACCAATGCCAAACACCTACTATAATCATTTGTTTTTCTATTGTCCATTCATGAAATCTATTTGGTTCGGGTCCACGACATGGCTCTTTTGCGTTGATGAATATGCTCAGAAGCTTTGACGAATAGCTAACATTATGGTGGAATCACTCCACTGAGACTACTCTTGATGATATTAGTGTGTTCAGTCAATGTTCTATATTTCTTTGGACTATATATGTGTAAGGCTATATATATGTGGCAAGTTTATGGAAGATACTGATGTTTCCCCTGATGAAGTTCTCCATGCAGCACACTCTAAAATAAATGAATTGGTCAGTATGAAACAACTTCAAAGTTCAGCTTCTCAACAACCTTCACCACCAATCCCACAACCCCAAGTCACCTGGACTCTGCCATTCCATCCATTCATTAAAATCAATGTTGACAATGCACACAATTGCACCGCTTCAGGTATGGGCATAATGCTTCGGGACCATCGTAGTGTTCTCTTGTTGGCTACATCTATTCATTCTCATCTGGTTGACTTAGAGCTAGTAGAGGCTTTGGCTTTCCAAGCAGATTTGTCAATGGCTCGAGATCTTCAGCTCAGCCATGTTCACTTGGAAGGAGATGTGCAGAAGTTCGTTTTGATCTTGTTGGATGTTAATTTGGACATCCCATGGCGTTTACACAATGCGTAGTAGCCGATTTCACATCCATTCTGCATTCTTTCCAACAGTCTCTCATCTCCTTCGTCCCCAGTACAGGTAATACTATGTAGTAACTGATTACACAATGTAGTAGCCGATTGCACATGACACTCCAGACTTGGTTACTACTGCTTTCACTGGAAGCGTTTTATTCAGTGGGCGGACAGTTTGTGCTCCCACACAATTCATATTTCTAGGAGGAGGTATATGGCTGGCCTCCTACATACATGTGACCTTTCAAATTCAGATCATGGTTTTTGGAAGGAGTTTACCATGGCAATTGCTATCACCAAAACCTTAGTTGGATTTTCTAGTCTGATGTAGGCGCATGTGGCAAGGCCCAGGATGGCATCACATGGCATTGGCCGGATGCAATCCTGGCTGTCCACTGCCAACCACTCCTAAGGTAAGGTCAAGTATAAATAGGGGTGTCCCTCTCCAGGTAAAGCATCTTGTTCACTCCTGCTCTCTTGCTAGCTCTTGAGTGACTTCGTCTGAACCCTCACCTTGGACAACCCCTCTTACACACTTGACTAGTTTGACCATCGGAGTCTCTTCCCCTAGGATAACACCTGGGGCTTCTGATGTGCGATCTCTTGCTCTCAAGTTGGACACATCAGCCTCAATTAAGCAAACAGATTTACCTTGTTGCCCTCGACCCATCCTTGGCAGAACATGGTCTATTTGAGGGATTCAATGGTTGCTGAACTTATCTCTGTTGGAAGCTGTTTTTTTCCTCTTTGGCATTCCTACATTTTGTATCGCTTGCAGAGGCTTCTCGAGCTAGTTTCTCCTTGTGCTCATAATTAGGTTTTTTTTCTCAGCAAGTTTGGTCTGGTTTATCTTGGAGTTGCATTTTTCACCTTTCTTGCTGCTTGTGCTACTTGCACATTGTATTATGAGCATTTATGAAACGAGTTTTACCTAAAATTAAGAAAAAAAAAAACAAATCTCATGTTTTCTTCTTCGAAATGCTGCTACCATCAGTCTCCGCTGATAGCCATTGCTCTCCAGTGAACAACAGAACATGATGATGATTGAGGTTCTAGTGGGCCTCTACATATAGTTTCAAAGGGTGATAACTGGTTCTAGGTTGGGTTAATAGAGTACATCATCATGTCTGATGATTTTCAACGACTGCCTACTGCGATCATCAGGTCACAGATTGTCTGTTCCGCGGACATGAAGGAAATGGATGAAGTGATGGAGTTTTCGTCTAATAGTGGGTGTGAGTGTGACATAAAGTAACCCGTTTCTGGTCTTCCCAAACTCTTTTGGATATCCATAGACTGTCATCTCTATGTTGTAGGCACGATGTTTATGACTCAACAGCTTCAAACAGTACGTTGGAGAATGGCATACTCGAGGTACATACAGGTAGAGGAGTTGGAAATTCTGAGGAATAATGGAGAACAAAATTGGCACATCATCATTTCCAATAATATTTAACAAGGATGTCGATTGTTAAAAAACTTTGGGGTAATTTAAGGAACTTTTCAAACAGTAGAATAAATTTGTCCATTTCCCAAAACTTAAAATGGGTGGTTCAAGTATTTTACCCAAAATTTATCATCTCCAATTGCATTCAAAACGCCAGCTTTAACAATGAAGATTAATAAAAATTATCAGCTTCAATTTCAGAAACTAATTTTACAGGCATATTTAGTTATTTACATATGAGTACAAAATCAGCATTACATTACAGGCGACTGCCCATCCCTTCGCGTGTTAATCTACCAGTTACATGAAGAAAGAGAAGGGGGGAAAAGAATAGAAACCCATAACTTAAAACGATAAAAAATAAACATAAATCAAGGGGATGGTTGATTTTATGAGGGGAATCGAGCATCAGCCTAGCAGAACTAAAAGGGGCAATTTGTAACTGTCCGTATAACCTTACTCCGCGTGCAAGATCAGAAATCTGACTTCATGAGCTTTACTTTGGGCTTTATATTAATCTTGTCGAAGGGGTTTCCCTGTTCAACATGTATATAATCTCTTGTCTTTAGAACCTGCATGTAACACAAACAGGCCACTAATAAGCTGTTTGATAAATATAAACCAGTATTTGCAGTTTGATTCTGAAATTAGGCTCAGTTTGGGAAGAATACAAATACATACAAAATAACATAAAGTAAAAGGTTCTGCACTCTACATATTTGTATTTGTACTCCTTCCAAATGGAGTCTTAGGCTCAGTTTGGAAGGTGAACAAATACAAATATGTAGACTGCAAAACATTGTATTTTATATCTATTTGGACTGTACATATATTTGCATTTGTACTCCTTCCAAAACTGAGCCTCTTTAAGAATAATAAATGAGTTTGACTATGATAACGGAAGGACATGATACCAGAAATGGTTTCAATTTGTAACATAAAATACTTCAAAAAAAAATTGGTAACATAAAAATGGTAATCAATCAGGTGGTTATTTATCAAATTCATGGAAGTGTTTTGATTGGTCAAAGCCCTTTTGGTATTATGTCTTTTCAGCAGCATAGCTTTTTCTTGAATAAATATAACAGAACGAGCAATTCTCTTATATTGCTTGATAAATTAGATAGAAATAATATAATTCGTGCTTGATAAATTACATGGGTTAGAATGTGAACTGTGATTAGATCTCAGAAGCCCCATTCAGTGGAGTCTGACTTAAAAAAGCTCTATATCAACTATTTGGTGTGAACTACATAAATCCTGTTTCACAATGCACTCCACCAGTAAATGTACCTTTATTAAAATATGTAATTTCTAACATCCTTTTCATTTCAGCCTCCTTTTAGATCTATTTTATGTTCTAACTTGCATGAGATCAGTGGTCTTTCTATGCACATGGATATGTTGTTATCAAGGCAACATGACAGTATTAGGTGATAGGGTACGGGGTACCACCATATTCCCTATGCATTACTTGATGCATGTACAAAGGCACCGGTTATGAAGTATTTTTGAATTTTAAAACCTATAATTTATTAGGTATAATCCAATGCTGACACGTGCACACTCCTTAAGGACCACAAAATTTAGTTTGACTATGACTAGAAAGACATGATACCAGAAAAACTTCCAACCAATCAACCGGTATCATAAAAGTGATAACAAATCAGGTGGTTATTTATCAAATTCACACTTTCACAGGGGGTTTTGATTCATCAAAGCCCTTCCTTTTGATTTGTCAAAATGATAACCAACCAGCAGCACACTTTTTTCCCACAAATTTGTATTAAATTAAGCAAATAATAGAAAACCTGAACCAGTAATCTGGTTCAAAATGACAACAGGAAATAAACCATGCAGGAGATAACTCGTATACCCTCCTTGATAACTATATCCATGTGCCACACTCCAGCAAATATCTAATAAAAACTTCCTATTGTTGTTTGGGGGCTGTAAAGGCCTTGCTGTTAGACAATGTATGCTCTCAGCAATATGATTATGAATAAAAGTTTGTTTTCTTGTTTTATTATAAAACTTCTTAGTATAATAGCCCTTGATCTACATTATAGAGTTATGAAAATCATTAATTTGGTAGGAGACATTCATGATTGATATGTAAACTAAAAGTTCTCAACCAGTGGATAAACTTGGATATTTTATCCTAACAAGGTTGCCATGACTTATACCACCCAAGGATGGAGCAATATGTCTCAACTGTTAGGGTTACCCAAGGTATAAGTATAGGTATTTTTGAAACACTGAACTGGACCAATTCTAATGTACTCTAGACCTCTTGATTGTCGGAGCAATTGGATTGTTGCTTGTGGTCCAAGACTTGATAGTAATACTATGCCAAGCATCAAACTAGTCTGCTTTTGACATACCAACCAATGAGGACCTTCTAGGGTCAATACCTGAACATGTTGGAGCAGAGTAGGATGATATTTTGGAAAGTGATCATTGTGATAGGATCTACCACTTTGTCAGACAGAGAATATCCCCATCCATACTCCCTCTGATAGAAACTAATAAATTGCTAGTATGGGTTTCAAAGTATTTTGTAATCGTTTTTGCAAAATAAATATTATATAAATATATAGTTTATTTTGAAAACTTGTTTGCAAAATATTTTTCCTAGGTTCCATCGTAGAAAAGAGCACGACTCTAGGTATTTTCTAGTAGGGGAAGAAGTCCTTCCCCAATTCCCAGCGTTGGATATTAACGAAAGAGAAAGTATACTGCAAATATTCATTTAGGTCTTTTTACCCATGGTTTTAAAAAACGACCTGAAAATGGAACCGTTCTAGCCACCAGTTTTCGGGTCGACGGTTCAACTGTCTGGTTTGAACGGACGGCCCGTTCTAACGAAAATTTAAAAAAAAATAATTAAAAATAAAAAACGGCCACAAACTGTTGAACGGGTCAATAGATCGACAGTTCGACCGCCCGCGTCAATGGGTCATTGACTGATTCAACAGTTTTTGGCCAGGGACCGGGTTTGGGGTAAAATGGAACAGGTTGCCTGGACGCTTCCCGGGCCGAACGGTGCAACCGTCCGGGTCAACGGCAGTTCGAAAACCATGCTTTTAGAGTTGACCCACTGAAACTTGATTTCCAGTCCTCTGGTTAGCCATTTAATCTCCCTCCTCTCATTAGAAAATTTCCAAAAGTCCACTAACTTCTTGTAACCAACTTAAAAGCAGTTTTGAGTCCCCTTCAATGACTAACTTTTGTATATTCAATTCCTTAGACTTCCTTGTACCCTCCAGTACTGCATAGACCTCAGCTTTAAGAGAGTCTTCAACCCCAATGGGACCACTTGTCTAGTAGAGACTGATCAGTCCTACTCTAGAAGAGAATTCAACAAGAAAAAAAGAGAATAGAAGAGGAAGAAGAGGGAGAGAGAAAGAGAAGGAGAAAGAAGTTGAAGAGAAAGAATTCAGAAAAGGAGTGAGTTATAGCTTATATTGCCACCCCACTCAGCTATTTATATTAAAGATTTAAAAGATAGCTAACTTACAATAATGCCCTTACTAACATAACTTATCAGGAACTAAAGAAGAAACTGAAATAACTAACATACTGACACTACTAACATGCTAACAGCAACATAAAAAGGACATTATTGCCCTCCAACTCTACAGGACCTGAAAACAAAGCAAGCACCTTCCCATCCTCATCTCTGAAAACCCCTCCTACACCTGATGAACCTGGATTTCCCTCACTACTTCCATCAAAGTTCAACTTTATAAGTCCACTTCCTGGTGGTGACCACACAGGACAAACTAAAGAGTGGGCAGGAACAGAATTTGCCACCTCCAGCCAGCTATTCAGCAACCCGTTATCATCATCTCCAGAACATTATCATTTGTTCCTCATCTCCTATCTCATTTTAATCTTCTTTTCTTTTTCTTCTTCTTCACCTTTTAATCTAATTTCAAACAAATAAACTTCCACTGTGTTACTTTAGGGACTTCAATGTAATATCAACACCTTTAGAATTTTTTAGTAATTTTTTTTATAGTTTTAATATATGAAGTTTTTTTTTCTTTTTGATAAGCAACAGATAACCTCATTAAGAAGAAAACCACTGCAAAAACACAGTAGAAAGAAGAGGAAAAATAACAGCCAAACCAGCCCCAAAAGAAATTTACTCGAACAAAAACAACCAAAAAGAAAGAAAAAGGAAAACAGCAAACAAAAGGAAATCAAGTGTTACGAATTGCTGCCAGTCCTGGACATCCCCAATCAAGTTGACTCTTCTGTACCCCAGCCTTGGATAGGGAATCAGCCAGACCATTAGCACTTCTAGGTACCCACTTGAATGAGCTATTCAATAAGGATCCTAAGTGTTGTGCCTGTCTCACCAGATGTCCAACCCTCCAGGGGACCAACTCCTGCTTCTTCAGCCAACTAATTAGAGTTTGACAATCACTTTCCACCTTGAGTAAGGCCTGCAGTTCAACTCTTTGGAAGTAGCCAAAACCAATGGGCCCAAAAAAGCATAGCAAGATACATCCATTATGATCTCTGACTACACCCCCATACCTGAATTACCTGGGTTTCCAAGGCTGCAACCATCAAAATTCAGTTCCATTTTATCTGCTGCTGGAACACCCCAACTGAAAGTCAGCCACAGATTTCCTATCCTTTAACAAATCATTTAGGGAGATACCTTTGAATTCTTTACACACCAAGGCCCAGTGGGCAGCTCTGACCATAGTTAGCTCAATGAACTTCTCCACACTCCTTTCCTTCTCAAAAACTCTGGTGTTCCTTTCTTGCGAAATACTCCACAGCGCAAAACCTCTAACACATTGCCATGAAATCTTATGTCTCTTTGTGCTACAATTCACCCAGTTTGTAATAAACAATTATTTGATTTCTGAAGGAGGCACCCAAACACGCCCCATCAGCAAGAAAAAATGGGCTCACAATAGGGTTGTAAAAGTACAAGGCATCAAGAGGTGGTTAGTTGTTTCCCCATTTCTGAAAAAAAAGGATGCAAATATGGGGCAAGAGAAACCAGTCCTTCCACTTCTTCTGAAGTCTTTCACAGGTGTTAATGATTTGTAAAGCAGCTTCCCAACAAAAAACCCTTACTTTTGGAGGAATAGGACTGCCCATTTTTTCTCTCATTAGAGAGACAGAATTGGTGTGCAGCATTGTTAGACCAACAATTTCTACTATTTTCTCTTCTAAATTCTCTTTCTCATTATTCACAACAAGATGCTACATCAATAAAATCAAAATACTATAACCCTTTTGTTGAAATAATTTAGTTATTTGTGTTAGGGTCTGTTTGGCTAGTTAAAGCCTTTTTTTATTTTCTGTTATTGTACTCACTTACAGCAGGGGAACAAGAGTCTTTTCCCTTCTTATTTATGCCGCCCTATATAATATAATAGAAGCTGGCACCGCCAGTACTGTTCCATTGCTCCAAACCTTTTCTTCTTCCTTTCTTTCTTCTCTTCTCTCTTCTTCCCTTCTCTTCTCTACTTCCTCATATTTCAATCGGATTTATTGCCAAGATGGTATCAGAGCAAGGTTCTTGAATCTGGGCGACCAAGTT